GTACACATGCAACAGTTTTATTTCTTTTATAGATCTTATACCTTAGCATCCAAGACAGCTGCTTGCAAATTCATTATTTTGCTGTTCTGCACTGAGAATGGCTGTGGCTTGGAAGAAATGTGCAGTCAGTGAGACCAGAGCTTTTCCCAGACTTTTCAAACTCCTTTCTGAAAGCAAAAAAGAGCTTGAGATGAGATCAAACCCAGTAACATCTGCCCTACTTATGTGATGGCCTGCAAGTGTGATATTCTCTGGCATTTGGGGGCTCTAAAATTCAGAAGCTGTTTATATTTACCCTCTGTCCTGTGACATCTGAATCTTCTCCTAACTGTTCTACTCCACTATTGATTCAATATTGCAGCAGCCAGTCCCAGTCCCTTCTATGCTTTTGGCTCCCCTGGATTTCTTGCTCTCCTTTTTGCACTACAATGTCACTTACTCACTAATTAAGATCTTATAGAAAACATTGATTGTTTAAAAAGCGAGTAATGAAAGGAATATGCTGTGCAACTGTTCTCATAGGAGCAATTTGCTTGTATGTTGTAAAGGACCCCTGTAATTTCTTTGCTCTGTCCTCTCAAACTATAGACAACACTTCATGTGCAAGTGTAACTGGAGCATTTTGGATGCAAACTCAATATAAATGTGTTCAAGACCAGTTGGGATGGGACCTTGAACAACCTGTGGAGGTGTCCCTGCCCACAGCAGAGACTGTAAGATCTCTAAGGTCCATTCCAACCCCTTAACATACTATGATACTAAATGTTATTGAGTCCTGCAGGAAAGCAATAAGTTAATTCCCACCATTAAAGTCATGCAATAAGGCATATTAATAACAGAAGAGTAAGGAGGGAGGGTTAAGGCTGATCAGACTACAGCCTTTCCCGCTGTTTGCAGCCTCAGTTGTGCAGCCATAATGATGTACAAATTTTTTTTCTGAAATATATTCATATTTTGGTATTGCTGTGGGTTAAACCAAATTCAAAGAGGACTTGTTTGGGCCCAGCTTGCATCACATGCAACAGCTAATGCTTTTGGGCTTGTACCATTGTGTGTTTGTTAGTGGAAAGTGCAATCCCAGTAAGCCCTCTGGCTCTCCTAGCTGTAGTGAAACAGGAAAATATTGAGAACTGAATTTCAGTCAGATTCTCTCCCAATTACTACACCTGCTGCTTCAGCAGCACCACAGATATGACCTCCTCATTCTCAGTTCCTGCCTTCTCTTCTTGGTTTCGAGCCCGAGAAATGTGTTGCTTTTCACCTGCACTCTCAGCTAATAATCACAGGTCTCAGATCCACACCCTTGTTTCTGTCATCTGCCCTGCTATGTGATGAGCTCAAGGCTTTGGAAGCAGGAAACGCCGAAGACATCTTTCTGCAGCCTGAGATGTAACTAGTGTGTAGGCACATGTAACAGTCACCGACTCTTGTAGCAATGCTTTTAGTGTGTTGCATGATACTTCACATGCCAAGGTGAGATTTTTCACATAGCTCAATACCTCAATTTTTCAGTCAGTCTGGAGTCACTGCCCTGTTAACACCTGGAAATCTCTAAATTGAGGTCATTGAATTTCAGCAGTTTAAGCCCTGACAAAAATAGCATATATCAATTTACTTTGGCTTGAAAGACTTAGCATGTCAGGTCTTGTACTCTTAGCACAGTAACAGCTCATCCTTCTACTCGTGAAAACAAGTAAATGTATAGAGAGACTGGCTTAGCTAAGCAGATAACCCATGACTGAGGTCCAGTGCAAAAAAAAAAAAAGGCACTATACAAGCGGTAGAGGCATAAATGGACTATGAAAGAGGAGTTTTGA